AGAGACAACTGGGGGCAATGCGACAGGCCTATAGTTCTATTTTTCAATCAATTTTTAGATCAATTTCTATTTTTTTAAATATGGGTGTTATAATAGCCCTTTTTAGAACTGAAGGAAATGAATTCCCTTTAAGGCATTAATTTATTGAGTGTGTATTTTTTTATCTTAATAATGCTAACATTTATCACAACTTTTTTTGGTTTTTAAGCTTTCTATAATTTCCCGAGTCTAATTGAATGATACTTTAGAAAAGGAAAAGCTCTTTGAGGGATTTACATTGATGTTCTTTAAAAAATCTTGATGAAAGTTACTTGATGAAAATTCATTTTATGTAACAATAAAACACTGAAAACTTTGTTTTCAAATTTCCACAAAATTTATTTTAAATATTATCACTACAGCTGTTTCGGCTGATTGCCTTTCTCAAGTGATCTATTTTGGCTTGGGTTTACAAATTTATAGTCTCTAATGAAATAGGTTGAGGAGGGGAGAACTGTTTGTCTCAAGTTGGTCATTCAGAATTATATCTATGTTTTTTAATTGGTTGATTTCCATAGATTCTAACAAAGATAGCTTAAGGCCTTTATTTTGAATTTTAAATTTGGCATTAAAAGAATGATTATGATCTAGAAGGTGAAGTGCGTATGTCGAATCTGGTTTTCTATTCTTGAAAGCTCTTTTATGTTCTGCTATTCGTTTATCAAAGTTTCTACCAGTTTGACCGATGTAAGTTTTTGGGCAGTCGCCACATTGAAGTTTGTACACACCACTATTTAAGAGTTTTTTATTTTGGCTCTTGTTATTTTTAATATATTTGCCTAGGTTGTTATTTGTTCGAAAAGCTGGTGTTATTCCTTTCTTTTTTATGTTTTTGGCAAAATACAGGCAAAATAACAACAAAAATTGTTGGGTACATCCTACATAAATGGGTATCTTATTACAGATGTTACATAGATTAATACAAATTCCCATGCCAAGAAACAAGTTTGAGATAGAATTAAATATCATTAAGCAAATATACTCTTACAACGGGTACAATGAACAAAGAATTAATAAAATTTTAAATAAAAAACTACATAAGAAGGCCCTAAAATTAGCATTTCTACCACCAGAGAAAACCTGAAGAAAGTAAAGCAAAGGAAAAAAAAGGAATACCACCAATTTTCAGAACAAACAATAACTTAGGCAAATATATTTAAACAAGAGCCAAAATAAAAAGCACTTACACATTTCTATATATAAACTTAAATGTGGCCACTGCCCAAAAACTTACCTCGGTCAAACTGATAGAACTTCTAACAAACGGATAGCGCATCATAAAAGGGTTCTTAATAATGGAAAAACAGATTCTACGTAGGCACTAGACTTTTAAGATTATAATCATTTTTTAATGAGCAATTTCAAATATTCTTTACATTAAAAATAAAGGTTTTCAGGTACCTTTAATAGAATCTATAGAAATTAACAAACTAAAATATACAAATATAATTCTGAATATCCAACTTGAGACAAACAGTTCTCCCCTCCTCAACCTATTTCATTAGAGACTATAAAGTGTAAACGCATACCAAAAATAGATCACTTGAGAAAGGTACTCTGTCGAAACACAAGTAGTGATAATTAATTATAATAAATTTTATAGAAGTTTTGAAAACAAAAGCTTTCTGTGGTTAATTGTTAGAACTTTATTTTTAGTAAAATAATTTTACATCTAGTAGGAGCCATCAGGTATAAAGTAAATTAGACTACAGTACAATTAATTTAATTGGAAAATTAGTGATTAGTTCAGGTTTATTGTTGAATTTTGGATATATAAATGCAGGATTGGTTATAAAATCATAATCGGTCAATTTCATTAATGGTATAAAGCCTACTGATAGTCCTAGTTAATTGTTTAATTTTATTTAATGCTTATTTAATCGGCAAATAATTACTAACAGATCTACTGAAATATTTACCATTGAACAATATAATTTTCATTACTAAAAATAGATTCCCTAGGAATACTCCAACTAAAATCCCAATAAATCTGTATTTACTTTAAAATATAACTAAAACAAAATTATTGAGCACAACGAACGTTATAAAGCGCTAACATGTAATTTAATACATCATGTTCAAATGGTAAGTGCTGTAAATATGATTGAGGTTGGTTTTCAACAAGCTTATATTTCACGTCGTTTTGGCATCTCTCGGAATCTGCTTTCCCGATTGTGACGTCGATATGACCAATTTCGTAATGTCGCTGAAAGACATGGAAATCCTCAATGTGCAACTGCTCCTCGACAGAATCGGTAATAGGTTCCTTAGACATTCCGATGCCTAGTCACCATTCACTTCGGTCCATCCAAAGGTCTTCATCTAATTCTCTTTCTCTCATACTTCGATTTATGCCTTCTCTCCAACTAAGGCGGGGTCTTCCTCTTTTTCGTCTACCATGAGGGGTCCACGTTAGGATTTGTTTCGGGAGTCGTTCTTCGGACATTCTTTGTACGTGTCCATACCATCTAAGCTGTTTGATACTAATGTCATCTACTATTGTGTGTTTCACATTCATTATTTCCCTAATTCTGTTGTTGGTTACCCTTTCTAATCTTGATTTTCCTGCTAAGCGCCTCCAGAAATCCATTTCTGTTGCTTCAAGTTTTCTCTTGTATCTTTCTTTTATTTGCCATACTTCACTGCTGTAAGTGATTATACTCTTAACAATTATATTGTATATTCTATGTTTGTTGTTGTTTGATATTGCCTGGTCCCACAGTATGCTATTGAGAAGGGTAATTGCTTTTCTTCCCTGGTTGTTTCTTTCTTCTATCGTCCGGTCTACGTTTCCTTCTTGTGTGATGGTCGTACCCAGGTATTTATATGCGTCGCAATGTTTAATAATTTCGCCATTCCCCAGTGTAAGGTCCTGCTGTGTCCCACCGATACACATATATTCGGTCTTTTTTATGTTTATTTCCAAACCACCTTTTTTGTACTCCTCTATGAATTTCCTTCTCATATATTCTATATCATCGTAGTCTTGCGCTAGTACAAGTTGGTCGTCTGCAAATGACAAAGTGTATAATGTATTGTTGTTGATCGGTAATCACATGTTTTTGCATTTGCGTTTCCAAAGTTTTAGAGTTTGCTCGAGGTAGATCTTAAATAATGTCGGTGAAAGGCAGCACCCTTGTTTTAGGCCTTTGCTAATTTGGAATCCTCTCAATAGCCCGCTTCCAACTTTCACCTTGCTGCAGTTTTGGTATACAATTGTTTCGTCGCTGTTATTAAATTTGCGCTTATATTGGTTTTCTCTAATGCTTCCCATAGTTTGTTTTGTGGGATGCTATCATACGCTTTTCTTAAGTCCACATATAACAGATGCACCTCCTGGTTGACGGCCAGTTTCTTCTCAATAATCTGTGTAATACAAAACAGATGGTCTACCGTTGATCTCCCTGTCCGGAATCCTGCCTGTTCTTCAACTTCTATATCTTTATATTCGTTTTCGATTTTATTTTTAATCAGTTTTCCGTATATTCGGCTGATCGAGTTCGTTACAGCGATGCCTCTGTAGTTGTCACATTGATCCCGTCTGCCTTTTTTATGTATGGTGGATATCCATGATGTCTTCCATTCTTCTGGGATTTTCGCTCCGTTGATGTATCTTTGAAAGAGTTTAGCCAGGTTTTCATATAATTTTGTTGTGCCATATTTTATTAGTTCAGCTGGTATGTTCCCTGGTCCTGGTGCTTTGTTATTTTTTAAAGACTTACATACTTCTTCTACTTCTTTTGTTGTTATTTGTAATGGTGAGGCTAAGATATTTACGTTGCTGGTATCACTGTTATTTAAAAATTCCGTTCTGTCCTCATTTAGGAGTTTTTTAAAATATTCGTCCCATTGATCCGGTGTGATTAATGATATTATATATCTTTTCTTTTCCTGTCGTAGCGATTTTAATCCTTTCCAACTTTCTGTACTTCTCCGTCCTCCTAAATGTGTGTTAATCATGTTACACTTTTGCTCCCAAGCCTCATTCTTCTTTTGGCATATCATTTTTCCCACTTTAGCTTGGGTCCTCTTGTATTCTACCATATCAGCGTCGGTCCTTGTATTCAGAAATTTTTTATACTTCTCTCTTTTATTTTTAATCTCTTGTTCTATTTCTTCGTCCCACCAATACGAAGTTTTTCTGTGGTTTTTTACTTGGAGTCCGAGAGCCTCTGTTGCTGCTTCCCGAAGACATGTTTTTATATAATGATAATGCTCTTCATTGCTGGTAAATTGCATGGTTTCTAACTTTTTATCTAGTCTATTCCTGTATAAATCCCTCACGCTTTCTTGTTCTAAGCTGTTTAGGTTGTATTTCTTTTCTGTTAGTTTTTCTATTTCCTCTTCAGCTTCTTTTAAATCTATTGCTCTATCTATTCCTACTGTGAGCTTTGTTTTTACTAGATGGTGGTCACTGCCGCAAGTGGCTCCTCTATATACCCGCACATCCTGTACAATCAATTTAGTCTTTTGTCTTATGATTGTATAGTCTATGATTGATTTCAGCCCTCGGGTATTTTGTGTCCATGTATATTTATGGATATCTCGGTGTTGAAAGAATCCATTTGTGATTTTCATATCATTTTGTTCGCATAGGGCTATTAGTCTAGTACCGTTGTCATTTATAGCCTTTTCACCATATTGGCCTATGACTTTGTTGTGTTGTTTCTTGCCTGTTTTACTGTTTAGGTCCCCCAAGATTATAATTTCTCGAGATCTGCCGATATTTGCAATTTCTGAATGTAGCTTTTCAAAAAAGTCGTCTTTAATATTCACCAGTGCATCATCGATTTTTATGTGTCTAGTTGGCAATTACTTACGGTCTCTATAATACCATGTAGAAAGCGACACCTCTTGATAACCAAGACGAGACACCGCTCGATACCCAGATGCGCAAGAAAATTTTGGGGAGATCTCTGGCATACTGGATGAAGGACCTGATTACACGAAGAAAGTAAATATAAGATACAACAACTGAAATTTACTGAAAAATTACACTGTATATAAAAAAACCAATATCATTATAACACCTATATTACAGTAATATTATTTATTTAAAAAATACTATACTATTCTATGAGACATTTTTCCAATTTTATCTACTTCACTTTCCAACAAATCGCCTTTCTGTAAATATTGCGGTGGAATTTGGCTGGCACCAACGCCAAAGGGTGTTCCAGTAAGTATTACATCACCAGGAAGCAACGTCATCACGCTGAAAAAATACCAACAAAGGTCCGATTAATTATAAAATTTATTAAACTCAAAAACTAATTACTAGTTTGTTTTCTTATGATAAAATATAAATTACTAGGCAGTTTAATAACATTTTAAGAAAATTAAAGGCAAACATCCAGCAACTATTGGAGTCATTAGCTCCGTAATTTTCAAATCTACATAATTATAGTACCAATAAGAACTTTTAAATATAGTCCGTTCAGTCAGTTTGGAAATTTTTTGGCAGGTGCATTTTCAGAAAAATACGACACAAAAATTTTGCCCCTCAGTATTAATAGCTCAAATAAATTTACTATTGCAGACTTCTGTCATTGAAAAAAGAGTAATAATCATAATTAATGGAAGTGCATATTCATTTTTTTTTCATTAAAAACTTTCCTTTTGTAATACTAATCTATAAACTATATCTATGAGTATAGTCATTATATAACTATAATCTATGAGTATCAGATTTCAAGTGTTGATGAAAAATAGAAGATATTGCTCAGATTTAACTACACAGGAATACAGATAAATAAATATGAGGATAACGAAAGGCAATGAAACATGATTGAGATTAAAAATGGAATAAAAGAAACTGAAAGTATACAGACTCTTATCTGCTCAGAAATTGTTGAGGGCACGAAAGGTGCCTTAAAGTCATCAAACGGTCGTAAAATTTGTATCATCATAGGCGTTCCTGAGGTGTTTATTTATTAAAATTAATGCGTTTTACATTTATCTTCTTCTCCAAAATGTTTAATCAGTATTAATAATGTTTTAATATTAATATATTTAGCAAAAAACAATTAAAACTTTCACGGCTATTGTTGGTTATTATATTATATTAATAAAAATAAGAATTTAACCATTAGAATTTGGTAAATTAGAATACCTTATTTCTTTGGATATTTCAATACTAATCTTTGCATTTAATAACTTTACTAGAAAACCTGAAATTCATATCCGAATGTACTATTCGTTGCAAGATAATAAGGATGGAATTCTCCAGAATTTTAATAATATAATGGGTATCAAGATGCCAGCTTTGACCACGTGCCTCGTCTGTTCAGTTTATATTCGAAACTTAACTTGAAAGGGTGAAGTTATTACGAACGAAAACAATTTTTTGTTTAGTACATTTTTGATCGCATGTAATTTACGGCTCATCGGTGTTTCCACGTCTAGAGCAGTAATTAGCGTCTCGAATATTTCTTTTGCAAATTTATGTATTTAAAGAAAGAAAATGAACATGTATCAAACCTGTAGTTTATAATATGTATACAAAAAAACTTAAATACACTTATAAAATAAATAACCATTTTCAAATATTTTTAAGTTGATTTTTAAGTTTTTTTACCTATTTTGAAAGATTTTCTTGTTTTAGTTTTGATCTGATCTGTATCACATTAGTCTTATGTTTGTACATTCTTTCGATAATAAATTAAAGCAATACTTTGCTGATTTATTCCTTTTTTTAAATATAAATATAAGCTCATATTTTTGACATTTATTAACTGGAACGTATATGACGCCTTCGCTATTAAAATAATCGGTAGATAGGATGTATTGTTTACTTATTTTAGGATATGTATTTGGGTATGAATTTGGTATGTGTTTGGTATGTATTTGGTATATATGTATGAAATTTAAGGGAATGTAAAATATACCGCTTCTGACTCTCACGCAAACACATACGAAAATTTCCCTAAGGAATACCATTTTACTTAAAACTGGCAACATCTCTTTGGCTCAGGTTTGTGCATATACACGTATGTTTGGGTTCAGAATTGACATAAATAACAAAGGGATCAGGATTATGTCAGTAATATGTAAAATCTCCATTTATATATCTTTGAGAATATTAAAATTTTCTTTTGTATATATACATTTTTGAAATCCCCTCTAGAATTAATTAATATAAGCGTGCCACAGGCAGCTCTAAATACTCTAGATATAGGAGGTTCAGGATTGTATGGTTTTCCAGATGGTTCAGGTTCTAAACAAAATTTTACTAGAAGTTAGAGACAACCCGGATTTGCCTCATATCGGACGAACTAAATTGTGGCAAGTTTTAAAAGAATTAAATTTTCGGTGGGAGAAATCAGACCGAAAATCACTTTTGATTGACCGGGAGGAGATAATATGTTGGAGAAGAAATTATCTAAGATCCAAACGAAAATTCCGGGCTGGGTAAACTAAGGTCATACTCTAAAAAAAAATTTGGTCAGATAAAAATATATTAAGCTCCAGGTAAGCCTTTATGGAAGGTTGATCTACTGGTATCTCCCCACCTTCTTGTAAAGGCAGTAGATTAATAATTTCTCACAGTGGCAGTGAAAAAGGATTTGTTAAGCATGGTTTGTTGGAATTTCAGTCCAAAAGTACAAAAGACTATCACCAGGAGATGAAACCAGATATTTTTGAAGAGTATTTTGAGAAGATGATTGAACACATACCACCAAATTCAATTATAGTATTAAATAATGCATCTTTTCGTTCAGTAGAAAGACTTCCAACGACTGCGTGGAAGAAACAGGATATTCTTGACTGGCTGCGGAATAAGTATCTGCCATACGAAGATGGAATGATAAAAGCAGAACTTTTAAAAATTGCCCGGCAACACAAATCTAAATTCAAGAAATACGTAGTTGACAAAATGGCGGAAATGCGAAACATCACAGTCCTTAGACTTCCACCCTACCACTGCGAAATAAATCGAATTGAACTCATTTGGGCACAAATGAAAAGTTATGTGGCTAGAAAAAATACGTGATATAAAATACAAGCTGTACGTGAATTGTTATACGAGTCTTACATATTACAGAACAAAACTGGAAAGATGCAGTAAGACATGTAATAGAAGAAGAGCAAAAAGTGTGGGATCTTGATAACATAATTGATGCGATCGTAGAGACACAACCACTAATTATTAACCCTCAAGACGACTAGGATTCCGAAGTTGATCCTATTTATTTTGAATTTGAATAGTTTTCTTATCGTGATTATATAAGGTAAGTAATAATAGTTGTAATCGTGAGGTATTAAAGGGGAAAGGCGTAAAATGTCGCCTGTCAAAATGTTCAATGTGTTTTAATTGTGTCCATTTTTTTTCAAATCCTGAGAAAACTAAAAAGCATTGAAAAATTTAAAGGCAGAATGAAATATTTATTAGAATAAATAAAAAGTTTCTTTTACATGCAATATTTTCAACTAAAAAATTATATTATATTTTCTCTTTTATTTTCACCTATTTATATAAAATATTAAAATAAACATTGTAGAAGTTTTCAGGGACTTTCTACCCTTAGTAATAATGTAATCTTTCATTTTCGGTTAATTTTTCAAAAATATTTATTAGTTTTCTCCAGATTCGAAAATAATGGATACATTTAAAACACATGGAAAATTTTGCCAGGCGACATTTGGCACCTTTCCCCTTAATTAAATAAATGTATATTTTACAAATGGCAAGAAACTTTTTATTTTTAAATAAAATAAAGAAGTTTTATTAAAACAAAAATACAATTTACATAAGTACAATTTAAAAAATATATTTATTTAGTTCAAATAAATATTTCAGTCATATACTCTACGACACTGGTCGGTCATCGGTAACCAAAATACCTTCGTAATAGGATTATAAGGTTGACTGCTGTATTGTATTCCTTCAGATACAAGTGGGTTAGTCGAAAACATCTTAAACCCTCAGTTTCAGGTCGGTTTTTACTATTATATCGTATTACATATCCTCTCTGTATTTCAGTTCTCTAATTAGGGTTAAACTTGTAGTGAGCTATCGACAAATTGTGAACCGATTATACGCAGAAGAACCTAAATAGATGAAAGATGTGCACAAAATAAAAAATTATATCTTACAGAAGAGAGAGATATTATACAAACAACTGTGTTTGATAGACGGTCAGGTAACAGAAATTACATATGAAATTTTTTTTTTCATTTTCATTAAAACTAAAATCATTTTAAATAATATTTAGATAGTAGTCTATTACATATTCTAAAACACTAAGCTAACATTAAACTCTTTTTTAATCAAAAGAGAATGATCGACAGTCACATCTGCCAAACAACTATATCTGAAAATAAAATTAGACCTGTACTGCAATTTCACCCGAAAGTACGTGCAACATTAAAAATATTTCTCTCCTATCATTTTGTTTGGTAAAATGTAATGACTAAATGTTATCTAAAGCGTTATACATAATGCCGTCATAACGAAACTGATTACACAATGAGTATTATGCAAAATCAATTATCAACAATTCGTTGCATGTTTTTGCTGATATTTATTCGTTTATACAAAGGCTTCATGTAAATAAAACCAATAAATGGGTCATACAATTTCCACAAAACTTAACTTTCCAATAGCGTGACAGATAGCACTGATTGTATTAATTTTCGACATACAAAATTAAAAAGAAAATATATAAATGGGGGAAGAAAAAAACTGCGAATTACCAGTAGAAGAACAAATATATTTATCAAAATAAAAAATGATGTAGAAATAGATATCCAACAAGATATACAAGATTAGAAACTAAGTTAAAAAGAAAACCTTGTTACAGTAAATACTATTACAACCGTAGAAGTCGAATTAATGAATAATGTGATCCAGTACATTGGAATATGATCAAAATACTCCAGAGGGATTTTATAACAAAAACGAAAATTTAAACCACAGTTTCTTTAAGTATTCAACCATACAGAAAACTTCTACATTTAATTATAAATCGTATGTTCGTATAGTAGAATTCCTGTTAAATTCCATTTTATTGTATAGTTTATAATCCTGGCTTACAAATAATGAAATATATATATATATATATATATATATATATATATATATATATATATACAGATTGAACGAATTTAAAACGGATCATACAATTTAATGTCTGTTAATTCTGTCTCTTTAAACTGCATTTGAAATAGTGGACCATAATAAAGCGATAATAGTTCAGGAAATGAAGCGCGAAA